ATTACGCCGACTGGATTCTGCTCTTTGGCTTGATTCCGGTTGGTGTTGCTGAACCTGCAAATCCCGCATCTGCTGCATGGTCAACTCTATTTCGGTTTTGAATTCAGCTCTAATTTCTTCGCGTTGTTTAGCCAACGCTTCCTGCAGCATTTGAGCCAATTGATCTGGCGTGATCGCGAATGATTCTCTGACTCGTCCAACACTGGATGCGGTATCGTCCGACGCAAGGGCTGAACAAGTATCTGATATTTCTTCATCTGAAGATAGCCCCTCGTGCATTTTCCTGTAGTCTCGTCGTAGGTTGGCTCTTCTTTGTAACCGCGCCATCCTTTGAGAAAGACCCCGCTCAACTCTCCCTCCTGGAGAGAAATCAGGGTCAGGATTGACTGATTTTTGCTTTCCTTTATTGGTCATGTTGATAGTGACCTCAGGAAGCTCATCTTGTCGGATTACAGATTTCGTTTTGTTGAAACGTCTTGTTTTGGGTCTTGACGCTTCATTGGACAATCTTTGAAATACGGAGACTCTTGTTGAATTATTCTTAGAGCATCCGCATTCTGTCAACACTGCTTTAATGAGTCTCTCGCAAGCGCAATGAGACTCATTTTCTCTGACAACTCTCTTTCTTGAGTTATCTTTCTGATAGTACAGCTCATCATTATTGTGATTCGAGCAACCTATCTTTCGCTTTTGAACTTTGTTAACATGCACAGGACGACTGGTCGTCGCCTCTGAACGATCCAAAGTTGAATTTTTGAATCCACCCCCTTGCGGGAGTGGAGTTTTCATAGGTCCTAAACGAGAGTGAATTGGTATTCTCTCGTTCTGGACTTGTGAGGTTCTGACAGGTGGGTGTTTACGACCCCCTGCATATGAAACCATTAATGGTTTATTTGCCGGACATGGTTGTTCCTTGACTGGGGCTTTGCCTCGATCATCAACTGAAGGACCAAGGCGATCTGCCATTGTTATCTTGAACTTGGACAAATCTGGGCTAACCCAGGGTTCTACTGGTGTTGCAGTAGACGGGCCCGGAACAGATGCTTGTGGCGTCTTTGGCATCCAGACTTTACGATTCTTCGGTGACTTTTCAGACACCGTTTCTTTCTTGGTTCCTTGCGCTTGTTGACGAAGAGCGCGAGTTTGGGCAGCCTTCGCCTTACGCCTTTGTATCCGTTCCTTGAGGGTTGAACGGGCCCTTTTGACGAGAGTCCACTCCTCCGTCGTAAGTTGTGCAGAAATATGATTATCTTACCGTTGAGGCAACTGAGTCATTTTCTGTCTCCTCGACTCTAGGTCCGCATAGTAATGGACCCCGTCGGTTTGTTGCATGGCCTTAGCCAATTGTCGAGCACGACGCTGACGCTGTCTCTGACGAGCTCTTTTCGTCAGCACCGGTGAGCTATTGATCAACGACTCCGTAACTGGTGTAGAGTCGTGATGATCTTGATCGGTTGCGACACCGCGGTCTCGGCAGCGAGACCGCTGGCTCCCACTACTTGATGGTGGTTGTTTGAGTCAAAAGTCGGTTCTGTTGAGGAATTCATTTTAACTTTGTTCGATTACAACAAATTTGAAAGAATAATCTTTTTATAAGACTTTTTCTACACAACAAAGCGAAAATTACAACTTTTGAGAAACAAACACAAAAATCGTCTATCGATCTTTGTTTTCGTGGGACTTTGCCTGTGCCGGGAACGCTTTGGTTCGTGGACCGCCGAATCACAGATCGTGAAGAGGGGGTTGACTGATTCTGACTTCGTTTATCGAAGTGAGAAATTGAAACGATATCTTATCGAAGTAAGATAGTCGTTCTTCTTAAAATCAAGTCAAAGCTTAATTTCAAGGCGTTGCAAGAAAACTCAAATCTGCTCTCTCTCTGCTCTGGAATGCTCTAACAAATGCTCGATCCTCGTCAGAAGTGACCCTAGGGGGGTATTTATAGCCTCAGGGGTCTGCAACTGAAAAAACTCAACAAATGACGACATTAGTACGGCGAGACAGTGTTTGCTGTCTCGACCCGCGAGACAGTAAATACTGTCTCGGAAACAGTAACCACAGGCAGTTTTCGTTTTAACTGCCTTCCCATGTTTCAAACTCCGTTATTTTGGCAGTTATTCACGTGATTTCCGCCCACGATGTTTCCCACGTCCCTTGGCAGTTAATGGACACGTGTAGGGCAGTTACAAAGATAGTTTTGACCATTTCAACACTGTCTCTCTGGCGAGACAGCAAATACTGTCTCTCTGGCGAGACAGCAAAGCCTGTCTCGCTGGCGAGACAG